CTTAAACCTACAATTCTACAAATTCAATTACTAACTTAAACCTATACCATCACCAATCTTTCACCATATTTTATTATAAATAAATATGAACTTAACTTAAACCTAACTTAAACTTAATCTAAACCATAAAATTTTTTGGATTTTATTCTGTATTTGTTCTTCTCAATAAGAGAACCAAAAACATCAAATTTACTTTCATCGGGGAACAACACCATACTCCAGAAGTAATTATTTTTGTCAGTAAATCCTTTGGCCTACTTTAAATATAAAACTTTATTCTTTTTACTAAATGGAGTTTTTTCTCCTTGGAACTCGTGCATTTGAATTATATTTTCTGAGCAATCTACGACATAATTCTGGACGCACTTTTTTGTCAAACAGTGTTGCTGCCATTAACGCCAATTGTGATCCGGAAGTGAAGGAATCTTCTTGAATATGGCAGATTAGGATCTTTTCTTCTGTTTCCTTTAATTTCTTTAGTCGTCCAGTACGAGGTTCTATTCGCAATATTTTCTTCATTTTCATATTTTCTGAGGATATAATAAATTATACGTACGGCTCTGTTTGTAGGTTTCGAAATAATTTCCTTTTAGAGATTTCCCCCTTCGTTGTGCCATTTCGTTGTTAATTCTCTTTCTGCTTTTTCCGTTTCCTATTTTTTTGCGATTCGTGTTACGAGCACTTGATTTCAAAAGAATTTCAACAGAAATGTTAGACTGCCTTTGCAGCAGACTAACTGCGTACAAAATGAGAAATCTTTGTTCAAGTTCGCTTTGATCGTTCTTTTGTCGTTCAAAATGATTTTATATTAGTCGTAATAAAATCATTCTCCTCCAGACGCATATTGTTCGATTTTAATGAAACTAATGATACATGTAATTGTCATAAAAGTTCAAAAATAAGACATATTTTGTATTATCTCGGAGAGTCTATTACATTCTGTGTCCATTCTTCATTAAAAATGTACAATGTTTTGAATACTCTCGCGAGCCAGGGCAGAATCTGCTTTCGAATTTTATCGACCAAAGTTTTCCTCAGGTATATTTGCTGTACTCCGTAGAAAGTAAGTGTCAGACAGTCGGGCAATTGACTTCGAAATTGTTTGGACTTTGACGTGTCCTCCGATGTTTCACGAAGTAAGAAGAACTCGCGGGGAACGGGATTCATTCTCTTTGTTGAGCGGGAAGAATCGAAGACAAGCGTATGGAAGGTCTGCCATTCGAACGAAAAGCAAATGTCACTTACACTCGATTTAAGTGTTGAAACTCCGTGCCATAGCTGGCAGCAAGGGAAAATACGCGACAAGGGATGGAATTTGTCGACGCGGCTCGATAAGCTGTCAGGAATCGAGTTTGATGGATTGAGAAAAGCACGACGAAAGCAGGTTAACCGCTGTTGACGCCTGCAAAGAGATCTCGAAGGAGCGGTGACAGTTGATCCTAGATAAAACTCGATCTCCTTAAACGTACGTGCATGTCCATGTACGTATATACATATGTACACAGGGTGTATATAATGTAAATAACATCTTCATGTTTTAGAGACATGGAATTAATTTGATAAAAGTCATTGAATACTGAGGGGGGCCATAATATGGCAGTGATGATCTTTTTGTAGGTGGAAAGATTCCGAAGATTTCAAACTCATCTTTACTTTTTTTTTTAAATGTAATGATACATTTTTTTATGCATAAATGCATTTCCATATTGCCTATGAAGCATTATGTATGTAAAAGTGTTGACTATATATGTAAAGTTATTAATCCACTAATCGATGCATCCTCTATAAAATGTTAACCTATAAAGTCCATTTGTACTAACCTAAACCTAACCTGTGTATGTGAAAGTATTAACCTAAAAAAAAAAAAAAAAAAAAAAATGTAAAATTGTCAGTTTTATTTTAACATTAATTCGGTAAAATCTGTGCACAAAGATAAGGACCTTTTTTATACTGTAAATTTTGTAGAAATTAATTATAGACCTAAACTAATATCTTTTAACGTTTAATGCGTAGATTAATACTTTTAGTACATCGATTGAGTGGATGGAGAAGTATATTATTCCATTTTAAAAAAGTAGAGATGACTTTCAAAACTTAAACCTAACCTACAAAAAAATCATTACTGAACCTAACCTAAATATTTTCAATACTGTACAAGCTTTATCAACAACGTTTACTTACCTCTCTAAAAACAACAGAGTTATTTAGATAACCTCAATTTTATGGTTCACTCTGTATAATAATTACTTATGTATACACATATGTGTGCACAACTGATCTATCATCATGTCCGATATTTATCGTTTTTGACAGAAATCATGTCATTTCAAGATAGATATCTCGTAATCTATTCGCAGTAGACTCTTATCAACGAAATAACCGACGTTATCAATAACGAATAACATTTTAACACGCTGCATATTACTAGAAACTGTAAAGCTCTCGCTCTCTTGATGGAATTGCTTTCATGCAAGCACTGTTAGCGATGTTTCACGATAAATCGTAGATACGATCGCAGAGAAATATTGTCGTGAGAAAGCTTGTAAGGTGATGGATTACTCTTCATACAGAGATCAAGAAATCAAAGTGTCCGCAGCAACGGTTGATCTCTGTCGAACGGGGACGTTTACGGGGGCCTTGGTAGAAGCGACAAACGTCCACGCTCGGCAAGAAAGATCTCATTCGGTTGAAGATTTCGAGGCTTGCGCGATCTTCCTTCGCTTTCACCCGAAAATTGACACCGAGAAATTGAGAATAAATCGATAGGGAAGAATTTAAGGCTGTTGCGCCTTGGAAGAGTGATAAATCGTCCTTCGGAAAGTTTTGATTTCCCAGCGGAGAACTATACTGCCTATCGACTTCTCTACGATCGTTTTCTCTCTCTTTCTCTTCCTTTTTTACTCCTCTGTTCGTACAAACGCGTCTATTGAGTGGACCAGTGGTTCTTAACACTGGAACTACCAAAATGGCCAAAATGGCTAAAATGGCCAAAATGGCTAAAATGGCTAAAATGGCCAAAATGGCCAAAAATCTGTAATTGTCCACAGTAATTTTATTATATCGACGACAGTGTATTTTTAGATACTCGAGTGACTTTTAATAAAATATATTAGCAGAAGCTTGTTTTTTGTTTTTATCCTATCATATAACTTTTACTTTAATTCTTACTCATATAACTTGCAC